CACAGGGCGACCAATGCCATTTCTGTGCCGTGGCGTGGCCTGAAGCCCGACTGAAATGGATCCAGGGCTTCTGTTTCATCCAAGAGCGCCTGAAGCTGGTCGGCCACCACCCTCTCAACCACCTTGCTTAAGAAAGAAACATTGGCGACGGGCCTATAATTGCCAATTTCATCCGCCGCCAAACTAGGTTTCTTCCTAATGGGCCTAATGAGTGTCTCCTTGAGGGCGGAGGGAAACCTGCCCTCAAGGAAAGACCCATTAATCATTACAGTGGCCCATCCCGTTGTTGAAGGCCTGACTGCTTTGAATAGCCAGGCCGGGCAAGGGTCCAAGGAGGAGGAGGTGGCACGACAGTGGTCAAGCACCCTGGCCACAGAGTCAGGCGTAACAGGCTGAAAGGAGTTGAAAATCACCGGGCAAGACGGAGCGCTGGACATCTCTGCTCGACTCACTGTATTCAAAAAAGGAGAAAGGTCTCGGCGGATGGCCTCCACTTTCGATTTTAAAAATGCTGCAAATTGGTCCGGTGAGAAACTAGGGGGAGGCCCATCACTCGGACCAATTCCGGATAGGTCGCATACTATACGGAAAAGTTCCGCCTGCTGATTGGACGCTTCGCTTATCCGGCTAGCGAAGTATGCTCGACTGGCAGACTTTACCTTAGCCAGGTAAAGGTTAGTAGCGACCTTGACAGCTATCCAATTATAATCCGTCGGGTCCTTTCTCCATTTGCGCTCTAGCCGTCTCCTGACCCGCTTCAACGCCCGGAGATCCTGGTTAAACCATGGCGCCGGACGGTCTCTGCGACGGAGAGGGCGTTTAGGAGCGATCATGTCTACAGCCCTAGCTGCGGCAGCAGACCAGCCGTCAACCAGAGCCTCCACAGGACCGCCAGCCAGGTCAGCCGTAACACCTCTCATGGCATCCTGGAATCCGACCGGATCCAGTAGCCTTCGAGGGCGGACCATGACAATAGGTCCCTGCTCCTTGCGAGGGGGGACAGCCATTTTGAGGGTGCATTTTATTAGGTGGTGGTCCGACCATGACAAGCGTACCGACTTGAGGTCAGTCACCATCGGACCACTCTCGCCCCCATTGGTGGAAAAAACCAGATCCAGTGTGTGGCCACCCACGTGGGTGGGGCCGTTGACATGTTGGGACATGTTCAAGAAGGCCATGGTCTCCAAGAACTCAAGAGCTGGCCTGGAAGTCTCTGCCCCCGCATGCATGTTGAAATCCCCAAAACTAATAGCCTCGGGGAACCCAACAGTGCCGCAGAGACAAAGTCCACCAGCTCCGGTAGGGAAATGGCTGGGTCGCGGGGAGCACGGTAACCCAGCAAGATCACAATACTATCCCTAGTCCCAATCGACACGTGGAGAACCTCAAGACCCGGCTTTACCACCGAAGAGCGCCTAGCAACCTCCAAGCTGGATTTATAGACAATGGCTACTCCCCCCCCACCCTCCAGTCTACCCTGGTGTTGGACAGCATAACCGGGCGGGCAGATGAGTGCTAGGGGGGGACCCCCTTCTCCACCAATCCATGTTTTGGTTATGCATGCCAGGTCTGCATCCTCCTCCAGGATAAGGTCTTGAATTACCTGGGCCTTATTGGATACAGACCTGGCATTCAACAACACCAAGCGTAGAGTGGAGGGGCGACTGGTCTGGCTACCTCGATACTGGGGGTTGGTCACTGTCTCGGAACAATGAACAGCTTTTAAGCATCTGTCCATCGTTCTTCTAACACGAGCAGGCACGGTGCCAATTGGCGACCTTGATGGTGGGACGGTGCCAATTGGCGATTTGGCGACCTTGATGAATTACAAATAATGGAAAATCATCATTTTTAGAATTTGGTCCCAGTTCTAGCAACAAAACATCCTAAGGTACCATATTCTAGTATCTTTTCTTGGCCAAAGTCCTACATTCCAGAAAGCATCCTGGAACTGCAACTTCTGAATACATCATAAAGGTAAAGGTTCCCCATGACAGTTAGTCCAGTCGTGTCCGACTCTAGGGCACAGTGCTCATCCCTGTCTCCAAGCTGTAGAGCCACCGTTTGTCCGTATACCGTTTCCGTGGCCAGCGCAACTAGACCCGGAGCGCCGTGATCTTTCCACTGTGGTGGCACCTATTTATCTACTCGCATTTTTACATGCTTTTGAACGGCTAGGTTGGCAGGAGCTGAGACAAGCGACGGGAGCTCACTCCATCACGTGGATTCAATCTTATGATGGCTAGTCTTCTGGCCTTGCAGCAGAGGCTTCTGCAGTTTAACTCACAGCGCCATCATGTCCCATATGAATACATCATACCTATCATGTAAATCGTAAGTAGCCACAAATGATCCACAGGAACTATAAGGAGGTTTTTTTCTGGGCTGAAAAACTATTTTCTGTATAGCATCTCAAAACAGCAGTTTATAAGGCGGATAAGGGAAACACATTCTCCAGTCAAACAGAATTGAATGGGAAAATGCAAGGAATAATTGAATTACATTTGGATGCCCTCCTTGGAAGTCACTGCTCTAGGCTGTGCTTCACTATATTGATTTTCTGTCAGGACCAGGTACAGTGGATGGCATATAAGTTAAATAAATAGATAAATAAAATGTTGTTCTTGGGATTTTTGGGTTTTTTTTGTTTTGGCTGGATGCATCAGTCTACTGTAGCAGATGGGGCAAGTGAATTTGATTGGGCTGGCTTATTCAGAAATGACTCTTCCAAGCTGTTTTTCACAATATTGATTTTCTGACTAGAACAGGTACTGGAATGTTGTATCTGGGAGCATTTTTTGGCTGGTAACATCAATTACCTCTAGCTGGAAGGGCAGATCAATTTGGTTGGGCTGGCCTACTGGGAAGATGCCATCCTGGGCTGGTTTTCGCAAGACCAATTTTCTGTCTGGGACAGGTACTGGAATGTTGCCCCTGGGGGTGTTTCATGGTTGCTTCCATCTGTTCCCTTTAGCTGGATGGGTCTGGTGAATTTGGTTGGGTTGTCCTACTTGGAAATCTCAGTTCCAGGCTGTTTTTTTGCAATATTGATTTTCTGCCCAGAATGTGTACCAGAGTTGTTTCTGCAGACGATATGTGGCTTGCTGCATATGTATCTCATCTGGACACCTTTTTATGGTGAATTTGATTGTGTTTTATTTATACACATGCACTGCCCCATTAGTGCAATGCACTATTCTGGGTAGTTCACAACAAGTAAAATAGCCAGAAGATAAACAGATAAAAACAGTAAAAGGCACAAAACCACCAAAACCACCTGTGTTACCAGGAACTTTATCTCTATGAGAATGTAGACAGGTTTTACATCAGGCAGAGTTTTTATGGAAAGCCTCCCCAAAAAGCAGTTTTTAAATATGTCTTTTACACATTGGCGGGGGGGGCAAGATGCCACTCCATTTGGAGCTGGTTCCACAGAGCTGGTGCCAATGTGAAGAAGGCCTCTTAGAAGATTTCTGGGCTTCCCTTGAAATGGCAACACAGAGGAGCATCGTATGTGAGGATCTGGTGGTCAGACAGATAACACTGGGGAGAGATTCTCCAATAAGCAGTGTGGTGCCAAATTCTGGAAGGCTTTCTTTATATGTGAACATCAGAAAGTTCAACCTAATCTGGGACAGAATGGATAACCAGCAAAGGCGAGCCAAAACTGGAATAATGTGATCAAATAACCTCACACCAGCCACCAGTCTGTTACTGCATTCTGGACCTGCTGCAGTCTCTGGATCAGCCTCAAGGGAAGCTCCACATAGAGAGTGTTACAATAGTCAGTCAAGGAGATGACAAGCATTTGCACCAGTTTCCTACTTGAAAGTTGCCATTATGTGCCATTGTGTTCCGTTCTGGCTGGGTTTTTGGGGGGAGGGGTAATAAAGGTGTAATGAAAGAGCAATATCCATTGGGTTCAATATTGTTTGGATGTTGGTCCAGCATATTCCAGCTGTTTCTGGCATCAATTTTTATCAAGAAGTCTGTTTTATACTCCTCCAGCTTTTACCTAGCCCCCCCTGACAATCCCAATTTTTTTTTAACATCAGTTTGCCTGTGTTGTCAATCTCTGATTGTGCTGTGGACAACTTTGCACATTTCGGCTGAATTTTAGTGCTGGCATGAGGATTTGGTTTTATGCCACCCTGCTCATTTATTAACCATCAGAACAACGAGTTTGGTTAGAGCTGTGGCCTTAGTTTGGCATTCTTACTTGTTCGTTTTTTAACTGCCCCATGTTCCAAAAAAAAGAGGAAAATACAAAACATACTTCAGCAGTTTCCCTCATCCATTTATCTTAGACCAACAGAATTAATAAATTCTTCAGATTTTCTGATGTATCTAATAATCAAAGGTTTCACTCACCTGTGTTTGAGTCAAACTGCTTATTGAGACCTTTCTCAAACTCAGATAGACTAATCTTTTTTGACTTAGTTTTGAGCAATGAAGTCTGACACTTCTTTTTGGGTGCAGATTCAGACAAACTGATTTCTATGTCACTAGAAGATAAAATATGACTTTAGTGGAGGCAATACTGTATAATCTATCAGGAAATGTGCCAACATCTCCCCATTCAATTTGAAGGCATTTGAAGGTCATTCTATCGGTGAATCTCTCTGTGAATGTGACTCCTTAGATGGAAAACAGGAAAATTACAGTATAGTAGAACTGAAGAGGGGAATTAATATTGTTCAGGAGCACTAATATCAGGGCCGAGACTACGTTTATTTGATTTTTTTTTTTCAGTTCACTCTTTCCACAAATCAGTAAAGGACTCTTGGGGTGGAGTTATTTCATTTTCCTTTATGTACTGTAGCTTCAAACAATCATTCCATGACTAAGTTTTGGACAGGGTGCCAGGAAATGTGTTCCTGCCTCCACGTGATGGACTTGTACAAAAATTAGGTATTTCCGGGAGCAGATATTTATAGATATCAATGTAATAACAAAACAAAGTAATACTGGGGTTGGATTTATTCTCATTATTTATTACTGTGCACTCATAAGATTCTGCTTGCTATCTTATGTACTTTAGCAAGGCTTTCAATTGGTATTCTGTGAAAATCTATGGAACATTTATTTGTCACATAATGGCATACACAAAATTTGCAACATTGCACTCCTGGAATGATGGGCTGAAGACGCCCGAGTGCCCCAAGAACACAGTGTCAAGGAACAATATTTTTGAGCGCTGCTTTCCTTTCATTAGAATGAAGGAAATCCTCTGCCCTAGAGTCCTTCATAGATTTGTAGAAAGATTGTGATGAAGTAAAATATCTATAACCAAAAAATGCTACATCAATTCATTATTATCCCTTTCAGTTTACAGGAACTGGATTTGTTTGGAAAAGTATCCCACTTTTTCTCTTATAGGGTCAGTAAACAATATTCATACTATATTCCCATGACTTGACACCACGGGACATTTTCCCCCCATACTCACACCCAAAAAATCCATTAGAAGATTATATAATTTAACCTCTCTTGTTATCAGCCATAACTAAGATGAATTATTCAAAATGAGAGCTCATTGCTCCTGCAATGACCACATAGCTATGAAATGAGTAACCAACTGAAACCAGGCAGGAGACATTGTTCCTAACTGTTCTTTATGCTATTAAATTGATTTGATTCATGCTATTAAAGAAATGTTGTATCCAAATGCATCTTTGTCTTTCCATTTTGGAGATTGAACAAATTTATGCTTGTCATTAAACAGAATATGGTGGTGCCTCACTTAACGGGCGCCCCCTTTAACGATGAAATCGCATAGGGACGGACTTTTGCGATGTTCTAAATGGGGAAAAATCACTTTGCGATGATTGGTACCGTTTCACTTACCTATCATCGCAAAACAATGATTTTCTAACAGCTGATCGGCGGTTCCAAAATGGCCACCCACTGTTTTCTGGGACGGATTCCTCGCTTACCAGGCAGCGAAAATGGCCGCTGTATGGAGGATTTTTGCTTTAAGGCGAGTTTTAAGCCCATAGGAACGTATTGAAGGGGTTTCAATGCATTCCTATGGGCTTTTTCATATTGCAAAGCGACGAAATCGCTTGGCAGCGATTTTTGCTGCACCGATTATCGTCGCTATGCGAGGCACCACTGTATAGCAAAAGAGTACCAGTAATAGAAAAGGGAAAACATTTATTTTTGTTGTCATTTTAGTCAAATTATGAATATATTTAAGAAAGAATTGGTGGATTTATAGACATGCTTAGAGAGGTTCCCTTTGTCAAATGTAAGTTAAACTTTTCCACGTGGTTACCATTATACTTCTTTATCCTACTCAACTGTCAAATCAGGAAAAAAGAACGGAAATTTTGATGGTGTGGAACCCCAAGGATTTATTCAAATTACTTGGATTATTTATTGTAAATAGACAAAAAGTCATTTACCTGCAAGGAATATGTTCTGAAGGGAGTTGAACAACGGGCTCTGCTGGTTTGGAGGTATCGGGTTTAACAGGAACAAGTGGAGAAGTTACTGGCACTGTCAAAAGTATATCAAGTTGCATGTTTAAAGTTTTCTAAATTAAAACTCCAGCAGGAATCTGAGCTAGACAAGTGCTAGAGAAGCAATCAATCAACCAATCAATAACAAAAAAAACCACTCCAAATTTTTTTATATCATTTACTTAGAGCTATAATTAGCAGCTGGGTATACAAAAACATAGTCAAGAGTAACTTCAAAGAGATCACACCAGACTTTGAAGCTCTCTGAAGGAAACTTAAGGACTTTTGGACCCAGATAGTTTTCTCATCCATCCTACCAGTACTTGGAAGAGGAATAGAAAAGGAAAGGAAAATACTCCTAGCGAATGACTGGCTAGGAAGGTGGTGTTGAAGTGAGAGATACGGTTTTTGGAACCACAGACTAAGCTTCCTAGGAGATGGACTCTAGTAAGAGATGACTGGTACTTCACAAAAACTGGGAAGAATGTGTTTGGCCACAACATGAAGAACTTCATCAGGCGGTGAATTGGAAGTGGGAGACACAAACACAGAGGTGGAGAGAGATGAAGCCGTACACACAATAAGAGAAACGTACCAAACAGTTGCAGCATACGTCAAAAATACACATTCCTGCACAGAGATATAGGAGGAGGAGACTGGCTGTCCCATTGAGAGTATCTGGATCAATGTAGTTGGGGTGATAAACAAAAGAACATGGTAGTTAGAGTCTACTAATGACTGTCAAATCAAGGAGAGGATGTGGATGAAATCTTTGATAAAGAAATTGCAAGGATTTCAGACATTTGATGTAGTGTGAGGAGAGATTTCAGTTATCCAGATATACATTGGGAGGCAAACTCTGCCAAATATGGTCCTTCCAAGAAATTCCTGATTTGTGTGGCTGATAATATTCCCTTACAAAAAGTGGAGAAATACACTAGAAGACTAGCTATCCTTGACTTGACTCTAACCAACAGAGATGAGTTGGTGGAGGAAGGGGCAGCAAGGGGAACTCTGGGTGAGTGACCATGTTCTACTAGAATTTTTGATTTTATAGGAAACCAAAGCAGAGTGTAGCCACACATATATGCTGGATTTTAAAAACACCTATTTTAATAAATTCAGAATAAGGATAAGTAAGGTCTCATGGCAGGAGATCCTAACAAGAAAAGGACTCCAAGAAGGGTGGGAGTTTCTAAAATAGGAAATTCCGAAGTCACAACTACAAACAATTCCTACACAAAAAAAGGTTGGAGATAGCAAATAGGCCAGTGTAGTTTCATAAAAAGCTCAGAAAAGATCTGAAAACAAAAAAGGACATATATACGAAGTGAAAAGAAGGACAGGTCACAAACAGCAAGGAATTGCAGGGATGTCATTAGGAGGGGAAAAGCTGAGAATCAGCTGAGGTTTGAAAGAGACTCTAAAAGCAACAAAAAACATTCTTCAGGTATGTATGCAGCAAAAAGAAAAAGCTACTCAATGGAGATGGAAAAATGACAACAGATAAAGAAAAGTCAGAAGTGCTCAACTCCTATTTTAGCTCAGTCTTTTCCCAAAGGACTCCAGACAAATGTTAAGTGCAAGGACAGGATTGCAACAGGAGATTGATAAACAAATAGCTCATTTTTCTGTGTATAAAACACTTTTTCCTAAAATAATTAGCAGAAAAAATGAAGGTCATTTTATACATGGAAGTAAGGGGAGTCAAAGGGCTTTGATCCCTCCTTCCCCCCTCTGTTTTCCTCACAAGAAAGTGGAGGGGGAAAGCAATTCCTCCTTTCCCCTTCCACTTTCTTTGCAAAAAGTTGCTTTCCAGCTCTATGTTTTGCAAAGAAAGTGGAGGGGGAAAGCAATTCCTCCTTTCCCCTTCCACTTTCTTTGCAAAAAGTTGCTTTCCAGCTCTATGTTTTGCAAAGAAAGTGGAGGGGGAAAGCAATTCCTCCTTTCCCCTTCCACTTTCTTTGCAAAAAGTTGCTTTCCAGCTCTATGTTTTGCAAAGAAAGTGGAAGGGGAAAGCGATTCCTGCTTCCCCAGTCCACTTTAGAAAGCAGGAATCGCTTTCCCCCTCCACTTTATTACCTGTACGAGGAAAGTGCTTTCCCCCTCCACTTTCTTTGCAAAAAGTGCAGGGGGAAAGCAGCTTTTCAAAAAAATCCCTGTCTTCCCCCTCCACTTTCTTGCAATGAAATAAATTTTGGGTTAGAAAAGTGGGAGGGCCGTCTTATACATGGGGTGTGCTATACATGGTGCCTTATTACCTTGAATGAGGTCAAATCTCCAGGGATGAACTGTATTTGAGAGTACTGAAGGAATAGGCTGAAGAACTCTCAGAACCGCTGCCCATTATTTTCTTGAAATCATGGGAACCAGGTGAGGTGCCGCAAATATTGGAGAGAGGATAATTTCCCAAAATAAAAAAAAAAAAAAAAAAAAAAAAAAAAAAAAAAAAAAAAGAGGAACCTGGGAACTACAACCCAGTCAGCCTGATGTCAATCCCAGGGGAAATTATGGAACAAATTACAAAATGGTCACTATGCAAGCACTTATTTTATTTATTTATTTATTTAATTTATACCTCGCCTATCTGGCCCACCGGACCACTCTAGGCGGCTAGAAAATAATAGAGCAATAATTAGAAGCCAACATGGCTTTCAAGAACAAATCCTTCCAGACTAACCTAAACTCATTTTTTGATTGGGTAACCTACCTGATAGAAGGAATGTTGTATACATAATACATGTTGACTTCAGCAAAGCTTTTGACAAAGTGCCCCATGAAATCTTGATTAGCAAGCTGCATGTGAGCTGGATAGAACAACTGTCAGATGGATATACAGTTGGCTACATAATCGTGCTCAGAGGGCAATGATTAGCAGATCCTTCTCAAATCGAGAGGAGGTAACAAGTGAGGTACCCTAGGGCTCAGTCCTGGGCCCAGTGCCCTTCAACATTTTTATTAATGACCTAGATCAGGGGATGCAGGGAAATCTGTTGTCGTAACCATGCAATTTGACCATTTTGTAAACCTCGAGATGTCTCATGAAGGACATTCAGCAGCAGGGAATTCCTTGGCAAAAGCAATCACAATGGCAGGTTCTTGCCTGGCAACTTGATCTGGATTGGGATAATGTTTCTTTCTTTCTTTTTAATCAAGTAAAGTTGTTGATAGAGCCAGAGCTCCTTGTCAGCAATCTCACCTCAGAACAGGAAAAAAAGTGTAAAGATAGGAAGAAGAAAGTTACTGCTCTAAGTGGTACAGATTAACATTTTATAAGGATGGGGGGAATGCACAACTAATGAGTTGATTTCTGTCAATGGAAAGTATACTGCTAATTAATCAAAATTTCATAAAAGCCTAAAGAAAACATTCAAAGACTTAGAATTTAGGATAAATTAAAAATGCCTTTCTTCACTTCCCATTTTTAACAACTCTCCTCAAACTATGCATGTTTAGAGGGCCTTGCTTCCAACCCCAAGTGTTGACAGGAGAGAATGCTTGCTATTCTAATTATCCCACACTCAGATAAGAAGAAAGAGAAGAGGGCAATGATAATGACACATTATGACAGAATGATTAAATAGCAGGGATATTTCATGCCAGTGAACTCCAAATGTTAGGTGTAATAAGTCATGTTTAAGAAACTTAATAGAATGCGCACACAGAGACATTTTTCAAAAGAACTATGGCAAAACAATTGTCTAAATTTCTGTAAGGTTATTGTAACATGAAAAATACAATAATGCAATTCTGTTATTGGCTCATAGATTAAGGGACTGATCAAACAATCCAAGAATAAGGATCCCTCATAACAGTCCATATGATTTCTACAACTGTACATGAATGCAGTCTGAAATACAAATATATAACACTTAAAATCTATGTTTTAAAAAAGTAATTTACTCAATAGTTAAAAAGCTAGTCAAAGAACAGTGCCTTACCAAGGCAGCTGCTTTTTAATATGTCTGTTTGTTTAAGAAACCAGACAGGGTGCCCTTAATAAAGACCATATCTTGCTTATCACACCATCTACACATTTTTCCAATTTTGCTTTGCTTTGTATATAGTGACCAGAACCAGTGCTTTTTTTAAAGATGCCTTGTGTTTTATGATAGCTCTTTCAAGAACAATTATATAATCCTATAAACACAGTGTCTCATTTTTAAAAGTTCCCTTCAAACACCACCCATCTTTTCCTTACTTACAGGTTTGTAGCAGTTTCTTGATTAGAGTCCGAGGTGTTGCGTACTGTGTAATTTCGGAAGTGGTAGGGCCCTGATAGGCCAGAAATCTTTTATAATCGAAGGGTAGATTCTGGGGAAATAGTAATTCAAGCACTGAAGCCAAGTAGGAACTGTACAAGCTTACAAATACATGTCAGAAGTTCAAAAGCATGTGCGCGCACACAAACACGACTTACATTGGTTTAAAATTAATTTCTATTCCCTGGGTCTAACTTACCCATAATACTTCTAGCAAAGTAACACTTTTCAAGGTACTGTACACAAAGAGTTCTGTGGCACCTTTAAGACTGTATGTTTTATTGGCATAAGCTTTTGTGGGCTGTAGCTAACTTGTTCATATGCAAAAGACCAACATAACTACTTCACTGAAAAAGCTTTTCAATCTATTTTTAAATCTTCAAGTAGACCAAATTTGTAAATTCTGATCATACTACATCAGGGCTTCGTGTCACAGCTATACAGTCTTTTATCCTAAATAGTTTTTCTCTTTTTTTAAAAAAGCCACACAACTGGGAAAATACGGGAGAGCTGCAAAGATTAGCCACACCATTCATAAACTCCCTTTAAAAAGGCAGAATTAAAGTGGTAGAATTTTGCTCTACCGTAGAATTTACGCAGAGTAAAAGCCTAGTCTTGTTTTGTACCAAGTAACAAAAACAGCACCAAGGGAACAAATATAAGAGACCTCAAACAATCAGAAAGACAAAGAACTACCTTGCCCTTCAAAAATGTTGTGCCTTCCAGGTAAACATCTGGGGTTTTTTTCCAAAAACTGGGGTGCTGGCGACAGCTTCCGCTCCCCCTTTCCACCATCCATGAGTAAATACGTCCTAAAAGGTTGCAAACTGCACAGTGTAGTGTACTGGATAGACTGGTGGACTAGAACTCTGGAGACCAGGGTTCGAATCCCGGCTCAGCCATGGAAACTGGGGTTGGGCGGGGTCGAACTGGCAAAACCACTCTTTGAATACGTACAGTATCTCACTTGAAAACCCTGCTAGGGTCGCTATAAGTACTGTAGGTTCCGACCTGACTGCACAGCGCGGGCACACACCGCTGCAAAACCGCATCCTTCCCTCTCCCCAGTTTGCTAAGCCGTTGGCGACACCAACAGCCCCCCCCCTCCGCCTCTCTCTCTCCACCGTTCATCTTCTGCGGCTGCTTGGCCGGCTCCCACCCCCCGAAAAAAAAATACCTTCTTGTTTTCCAAACGCAAAGACCGCCTCCGTTTCTGAGGAGGCTCTTGCTCCTTCCGCAAGCCCCCTCGAGCAGCCATAGCTCTGCCCGCTTCTGCCCCCCTCGGCCCACAGGAGCAGCCTCCGAAGAGGGAGGAGGAACTCTCACACAACAACGGCCACTTCCTCTCCCGCTCAGCGGTTCAAATAGCCGCGCCGAGTACCTCTCGCGATATTCCCCACTTCCGCCTCGCGCGTGCATTCGTTGCTGGGAAATGTAGTCCTCCCGAGCGCCTAGTTTTGCAGTGAACTATATCCTTTTTAAAGCATGAGTGGCCTCTCCCGCAAGCATGCCTTAATATGATGAGAAGGGTTGATTGTGTCAGGGCAGCGAGGAGCAAGGCTAGATTTAATTCCACTGGTCTGAACTCTTAGCAGGGTCACTCAAGGCACAACCCGCAAAGATGAGACCCCTGACTTAGATGCAACCACCCTCTTCTGGGTTAAGGGTCACATCAGCAGCAGAGGATGGATAGTTCGAAAGCCGATGGGGGCAGAGAAACTCCTGGAGATCAGCTAGTCATGGAGAGCTGCAGAAGGAAGAGGTGACACCTGTGGAGAATCTGTCAGAGACACCAGGAGTGACTGAAGCTAACTTTTGTTGTTACTGCATAGAAGATGATGATGATGATGATGTGCTGTCAAGTCAATTTTGAATTATGGTGGCTCTTTTTAGGGTTTTCTAGGTAAAGAGTACTCAAGTGGTTTACCATTCCCTTGTTCTGGGGGCCACCTGGGACTGTGCAGCTTGCCCAAAGCCAAGGCAACAGTAAATCATTTATGAATATATTGTATCTTGAAAATCCGACAATGAGACAGCCCAAAATGAAATAAGATACAGTGCTGGCAGGTGAGATTTCCAGTTCAGGAGCCACTCAATCAGCATAAGGACTTTAGCCTGTGCTTTAATGGATATTAACCCAGCCTCTAAGCGAAGAGCCACATTGGAAGTACAAGGTGGAACTCCAAGAATGGCTCTCGCAAATTTGGTCTGTACAATCTCCAGAGATCGTAGATTAGTGTAAGCGAATAGCTGAGAACAATAAAGCATTTGTGAAATAACCCTGGCCTTAAAAACTTGTATTACCAATGGTACATGTTTACCCCCAACAGTATGAAAAAATCTTGTTATTGCCCCAGTATTTTTCTGGGCACTCATTGCTGCATGGTTTACATGAGTAAGCCAGGATCCTGAAGAGTGAAAAACTATTCCAAGGTATTTATAGCATGCTACTTGCTCTACAGGGTGCCCATTTAGAGACCATTTGTGCTTTATTCTCCTTTTACTCACAACCATAATCTTGGTTTTAACATAGTTAATTATTAGTTGTTCTTCATTACAGTAGGTGGAGAAAGATCTCAGAAGTCTTCTAAATCCTATGCATGTAGTTGACAATAAAACGCCATCATCAGCATAAAGTAGAACTGAAATTGGGCGAGAGACAAGTTTGGGTTGGTGAAAATTGGGGTTACTTAAATTTCCAACTAAGCCATTGATGTAGACATTAAACAAGGTGGGGGCTAGTATGCATCCTTGTCTCACTCCATTAAGTACAGGGACTTGGTTGGATAAGATCCCCGCGGAGTTACAAAGAATCCGCAAATGTGTATTTTCATGAAATCGCTGCATCAATAGAAGCCGTTTATCGATACTTGTGGATTCAAATTTTGACCACAGGCTTGGTATGAGGTCAAAAGATTTGAAATATATGAAGGCTGCATGTAGAGCACCACCTTTGGGGGCAGAGTATTTAGATGCCAGGTGGTGTAGAATAAGACCCTGGTCTATGGTGGATCTTCCCAGCCTAAATTTGGCTTGTTCCTCTGCAAGTATATTCTCCTCAAGTAGCCAATCTTGTAATTTACCCAATAAATGCCTTGCATATAGTTTACTAATAGTGTTTAATAGGCTTATTGGTCAATAGTTAACAGGATTCCCTCTATTTCCTTTTTTGTAAATTGGGACTACAATGGGCCCCAATCCTCAGGAAAACATGCTGTTTTGTCAATCCAGGTGAATAAAGAGGCAAGAACTGGAGCCCACCAGTCAGAGTTAGACATTATAAAGTCAGGTGGAATATAGTCAGTTCCAGGAGCCTTGCCTGGTTTAAGTTGCTTAATGAGCATTAAGATTTCCCTTGTAGTGACTGGGGGCCATTCAGGTATATGATCAAGATAATTCTGAGAAGTTAAAGTACTAGCTGAATGGAGTATGTAAATACTTCAAAAATGTTCTTCCCATATACAGTACTAGGCAATATAAAGAAATCTTGTCTGGGAGTATAAGTTAGCGTTCCCTTTGTATCCATCTTCCAGAAGGAAGCCGAGTCCTTCAAAGTGGAAGCAGTTATCAAACATTGCCAGGTTTCCTTCTGTGCTTGAAGCTTTTTTCTTTTTACCAGAGCCTTATATTTTTTCTTAAGCGTAAACCAATCTGTTGGAATTCTAGCCAAGTTCTGTTCTCTGTAGGTCCCATAGGTGACCAATAACTCATTTTTAGCTGCTTTGCGCTCTGAATCAAACCAGGACTTTGTATGGAGAAGACCAGTAGTCGGTTTGCCTAGCTTTTTACATGTTAGATGAGTTTGCAAAGATTGTACCATGTGTTTATAGGCCTCTAAAACTGGTTCCACTGAACTTAGAGAATTAAATTACTGAAATATAAATAAGGTTCTGAAAACAGCAGCTGTCTCATAGATGCATCCAATTCTTCTGGCCACTTAATGTGGGCCCCTCTTGTAGTGACTGCAATGGCTGTTATAGAAACAAGGTCCACAAACACATTATAATTATTAAAATAGATCTTTAAAACCAAAGGTAGATGGTTGCTTTCTGCACGATATACTACGTTAAAATCATGTATTCGATCCATCAAGTCCCTGGAAACTAAAATGTAATCTATTGTGGAAGGGCTTGCTAAAGAGGTAAAGGTAAAATTCACCAGGTCTATCACCGGTTATGCACCCTTTTAAAGGGATAAACCTGAATTATTGATCATATACATAAAGCATAGACTGGCATAGTTAAATTGCCTGTGATTAAAATTTGGATGAAGAATAGGTTCTGGGAAGGTCACATTGAACCGTGCAGAAAGTGTCTCGTCATTTGTACCTATCCTTCCATTGCAATCCCCAGCGACTATTATAGAAGCATCAGGATACAATTGTGTTAAATGCTCAATATAGTACTGTACTCTAGGTTAACCCACAAGACATCCGTCATCACACGAGATTGTTGCGGAGGAATATAAACATTAATAAGTAATAACAAACACGTAGCAGTCTTCAGTGTCAAGGCAGAAGCTATCCTGTTGGAAAAATTCCATGCCACTACTGTTGCCTGTAGCTTTGTTGATAAGAAAGTGACCATACCACCCTTGGGTTGACCTCCTCTATCACTGGGTGAGGCATTAATGGAATGTGCCACATAACCATTTAACACTGGATCATTTAAAGACCACGTTTCTTGTAGTAAAATAATGTCAAAATTACTGATATATTCAATGAAGGCAGGTTCCGAGGCCTTCGTCTGCCAGCCCACAATATTCCAAGATAAAAATTTCATTGTGGGTCTCTTATGCTGAAACATGGGATCTTCCAAGTCGGGTAGCTGAGGAGGAGGAGAGTCATTACCCAAGCCACGAGCTAATGATGGCGCTAAATGAAAGGGAGAAGCTGAACTAACTGAATTAAAATGAGTTTGCATGCTAACTTCATTTCTTGAGACATTGGTCGTAGTATGCTTGGCATCACAGGGTTTCTCTCCATCGCCTACACGCTCTAGGCCCAATGGGTCTTCACCTGCTCATGTCCCCATGTCAGTCCTTGCGGTAATAGCCAATGTCTTGGCCGAAGGACTGTTTTAAAAGCCAATGGGTGTTAGCTTGACCTAAAGTCTCATCATTCCATCTGCTTCTCTTCTTTTTAAATCTTGGATTCAAGCCCCTATTTCTTATAATGACTGGAATTGGGTATCCAACAGCCAAGTCCGGATCCACGCTTGGTAGGTTCATGGATGAAATATTATTTGTCTGTGGGTGTAGTTGTTGTGAGCCCTGTTTAGAGTGTTGAGCCCTCTGCTTGGAGGAGTGGATTAAATCCAGAGTTGTGCAGTCCTTAAATTGTTCAGTGCTACTATTCTTGAGAGGCCTCTTGGAGTCAGGTTTCTCTCTCTGGGCATCCTTAGCTTGTCTTTCAGCGTGCTGGATATTAACGCCGGGTTCCTTCCCTTTTGCAGCACACTCTGCTGATTCTATTAGTTTAAATAAAGGTTTAAAATTTGTTCTTCTTTTTTTGGATGTTCGTTTCCGAGCCTCCTTTGTCTTCACAGATTTGGGCTTCGCCTTTGCTGAGTGTAAGGGAGATGCTTTTCCACCAATATTGGTGGGATCCTTTCCTGGAGGATAATGTATTGCACTTGAAGAGACGGTTGCAGACAAAGGTTTTAGAGAATCCGCTTTAGGTGGCACAGCGGTAATAAGATTTCCCTTAACCTCTGTCTGAGAACTTACACATAGAAGTTACTCTTCTAGTGAAAGCTTGTCAATTCTGTCAATAGTTTTTGGGGACAGATTGTAATAGTTCATCTTATCAGACACACTCCGTGTATGTTCAGCCTGGCTTTGGCTCAACTGGTCTACTGGTGTGTGTGTGTGTTGGTTTTTTTTTGCAAGATGCATCTTATTTTCCATCAGATGATCTGCTATAGTGGCCACAGATTGATTTATTTCCTTTAATGTGTTTCTAATTTGTGCTAAAAAGCCTTGTATTCTAGTGCTCCCTGGATCCTTTGTTGGAGTTGCTTTATCACAGTCCAATGTGATTAATTTACAGGATTGAGAAGAATCATGTTCCCCTGTTACTGGTGTAGTGCCTTTAGTTTCTGGCATCTCAGCATTTATACAGTTCAACTTCTGCTCTCTTAAGGTCCCAGAGTCGTCTGGTGACAACAAACCATTGGAACCCAATACCAGATCCGAAGCAAAAGCTGACAGTCTCAACCGGCCAAAATCTACATTCACGGTACTGTTAACAGGCTGCCTATTAACTGGCTACTTTCCAGTAAATGACAGTTTGTCAAAAAGCTGTCAGATAAATCGATATGAGGAGTAACAGAATTCTCTATGTTGATTGTTAAGGGTTTCAGTGAACTAACAAAGTCAGTTATCTTGATTTGCTTCAATTTCCTCGGGGCAACAGGGTAGACTTTAACACAATGTTTGGCATTGTATGTGTTAAAGTTCCCAGGAGGAGTAGAAGGCTTGGAAACGCTGTGGCCACATACCTGGGCCTGCGATGGTTTAGAAAGTTGATTGCCTCCACCTGTCCTGCTGGTTCCCAGGTCCAATACAGGTGTAATTGATATTGGAGTGCCACGTTGTATCTGTCTCAACACTGGAGGGGACAGGGTAAGATCAAGTATTTCCATTTTGTGAAAAAGGTAGAATGTAAATATCCACTGAAACTGGTAACAGTCCACAACCCCCAAGTTCTCTTAGTTTAGCTGCATTGTTCTGTTACTCACAGAGAAGTAGCTCCTTTTCTTGTTTCCATTGTAATTCGGATAAGTCCAATAATCCAGTAATCGGGTTCATTTCTTTCCAAGGCCAGAAATATATATGGTATTTTTGTAGTAGTAGTCCTAATATTATTGTTCCTTTATCTTCAAAGGCATAAACAAAGTTAATAAGTCTGCTGCTAAGAGCCGGGTTATTTGTATCCACAGAATAGAGTCTCCGGCTACTCCCTGCTTTTCTTCTTCCAAAAGAGCAGGTTCAAAGATTTTAAAAACTAAAAAACTTAAAAGCTGTCTAAAATAAAAGATGTTAAAAGCTATCTAAAACTGAAATGATAAAAGCTATTTATAGCCATGTATAAAAAGATTAGAAGGTTTAAAAGACTGGATTAAATATAAAATAAGGAGGCAACCAGGAGAAAACGCTGCTGCCTCCTTCACTGCTTGGACAACCCAGATAATGTTTTTATCTATTAGTTTCATGTCTGTTGTCTGGTGTCCAATGCTTTATTGTGTATTTCATAGGTACTGTAAAATCTAGCTTTTAAAAACAAAAGCAAAACAAAACAAAAGCAAAACATATTACTCATGAAAATAAAAACTTTTTAGTGTTTTTATTTAGTGATCTTCTATCTATCGTATTTTGCAGTGAAGCCATGATAATTGAGACAGAAATATTTATTTTATTTTAATTTAATTTATATTCCACCCATTTAGACCGAAGTCTAGTCTGGGGCTAACAACACTCAAGAATAATTGTGAAGGTGAGAAGGCCAGTGTGCCATCCTCTACTGAGCAGAAGCCGAAGGGAAGTTGAGGCTGCATAGAAGGCGTACTAGTGGAGATAGATTAGGAGGGAGAGGAATGGAAGGGGTCATTGGATGTGTGTCTGGCCGATGAGAAAGGGGAGGAGCTGGACTTGATTGTCTGGGAGGATGTTATAAAAGAGGGGGAAAGTACACAAAGTTTCAGAATTGTAACGGGCGGAGAGCAGCTGAGAGAAGAGACTGAGCGGTTCAGACCTAGCTAAGCTATGGGCAAGAAGAATTGCACGGACTGCTGACTTTCCGAATCTCCAGCTCGGGGGAGGACTGTCGCGCGAGAGTAGAAGACCTAGAACCCATATGGACTGTGGTTGTATACCCACGCAGCCAGCGTCGGGGGAGGAAGGTGATCCATCCCAGTCCCTCTTTACTCCATCAACCACGCGAGGGGGACTGGGCGAGACACCCATGTTGTGGGACAGTCTGTGCCATGAGGAGCATCCCGCTGAGGCCAATGACGGATCGAGAGCGATTTAGTCCGGCCCCTCTATAAGAAGTGACCTGAGAACGCCTGATGTAAAAGTAAGAAGTTATAGAATTTTGCCTGAGTTAAGTTTATTGGACCCGTTCGAGACTGTTGAGTTGAACTTGTTTACTAATAAAAAGAAAAATGCTAAGAATACAGAACTGCCTCCAACTATCTTTCCCGCGCAAACTCAGGGGCCACCCCCAGCCGAAGATGAACCCAATCACAATAATATAAAACAAAACATCATCATCAATACAACTGAAAATAACATATAAATTAGGTATTGACAGGAAGGAAGGCCTGCCTAAAGAGCCAGGTCTTAAGTGGGCTCTTAAAAACACCCAGCGAGGGAGTCAGGCAGATTTCTGGGTGGAGATTGTTCCAAAGGCAGAGGGGTTACTGCCAAGAAGGCCCATTTTCTTCTTCTTTCTCTTTGTGCCTCCCATCTAGACTATTAAAGCGAGTGATTTCGGTGGATCTAGGTGGGAGGAGGCGTTCTGCCAGATATTGAGGTCTTAAACCATTTATAAATATAACAGGAATCCCGCTATTCTATCATGATAAAACCATATTCTGTTAATAACATGGTTCATGGTTGTTGCACAACCCCATATGATGGAAGTCTGGACCTTTATTTATAAGTGTAGCATACAGGTCAAAAGGATATGGGTCAATATCCTTGTATTTGGAAACTGGAGTTTCGGAACATATAGGACAGGAGATAAAACATATTTCTGAGGGAGCAAATACTATGAATTAGATCAATATCCTCCTTGTTCTACCACAAGGTAGTGTTCAAGGCAGCTTGATAACACTTTCGTGTCTTCTTATTTAACAGTGTGGGACACTTTTCAGTTAAATTTCTGCTTCTTCCCTCGGGCAGATAAAGCTGATGCCGCGTTAGAAATTTAAAACAATAAAAATTTTCCCTGGGCATTGTGTCCAGGATAAAAACAGAGGTTTACGAGGAAAAGTTACATTCGATTTTCATGCGGCATTTAACTAGTACTTAAGCGTCCACAAATCTGATTGGAACGCCTCCGGAAGGACCGCGGGAAGGCGGCCCGGCCCGAGGCCTTCTGGGAGGAGCAGTTCGAATTATCTGACGGACCCTCTGGCGGCTCCTAAGATGAGGCGCGAGGACCTATCCCAGCCGCGCTCGCGGTGCCTTCTGGGAAGCGTAGTTTCCTTTTCGCCGAAGTGCTCTGTGGGACGGGTAGTTCCATTTCCTGTGGCGCTGTAGGCGGAAGGCGCGTCTCCCGTGGCGGTGACGGCGGTGGAACCGCCCGGTTTTGGGGCTCGGCGTTGGGAGGCCTTGTGGGATCTGTAGTCCCGGCGGCTGCCTCGGGCCCGGCGGCGGGGGAAGGAGGAGGGAGGAGGAGGCAGGCAGGCAGGCAGGCAAGGCGGCCCACCGCGCAGACCATGCCCGGGTTCACGTGCTGCGTGCCCGGCTGCTACAACAACTCTCACCGGGACAAGGCGCTCCACTTCTACACCTTCCCGAAGGACGCGGAGCTGCGCCGCCTCTGGCTGAAGAATGTGTCCCGGGCGGGCGTCAGCGGCTGCTTCAGTACTTTCCAGCCCACCACGGGCCACCGGGTCTGCTCCGAGCACTTCCCGGGGGGCCGCAAGTCCTACCTGGTGCGGGTGCCCACCATCTTCCCCTTGCGGGGCGTCAACGAGCGGAAAGGCGCCCGCGGGGGCCGGAGGGCGCGCCACGCCCCCG